AATTTTCTGGTAATTCCTGCCGTAAAGTGGGACAGTATATCACTTGCGTGCCGATGCACTAAGGCCAATTATCAAAGTAATATCGCGGTGGCGCCAAGACGCGATGATCGATACATATGGGGACGAGGAGGTCAAAAAGCTCGCCAGGCACGGAGCAGCTATAGTGAGAGAATACGTACACCGCCCTCTGGGCTAGGTGGATAGGAGGTGAACTTCATATAAGTCCGTGAGTCACGAACTCATGAGTAATTGTGATCGAGGCCCGCTGCCCGCATAGTCTGAGGATGGTCGGATAAGGTGTTTCTGGGATCAATAGGATTTGTGTTTAAGAGTGATTAGTAACAAGGCCACACCTGTGTTTCATGGGTTGGGGACCCGAGAACGGCGGAAGGGATCAGAACACTGACATAAAACCCAGGCGTGAACTTGCTAACACCAACACCCTTAATTAACCCGTTGGGCATTCAAGTATGGAGCTTCGAACATGCACGCGGGAGAGGTTTGGCAACATGAGGCGGGGGCATTCACCCGGGATCTGCACGGTGGCTGATTGGTATAGCCGTGTTTATCCCGGGCACCGAATGCGTCACGGACGTGGACTGCTTCCCACATGGGTTTGTGAGATCCACCCTCGTCCGTGACATATTGCCAAAACTCCCATCACAGAACCTCCATCAACTGCGAACGGCATGACGTGAGTGAAGGTCTCCCAAGAGAGCAAGTTCACGGATAGCCGAAAGACAGATGACGGAATTTCAAGAGAAAAGCAAGACGTCAAGTCGTTGCTAAAGCAGTGATCCAGTCTGATCACCTTCGGACCACACATTCACCCGGGATCTGCACGGTGGCTGATTGGTATAGCCGTGTTTATCCCGGGCACCGAATGCGTCACGGACGTGGACTGCTTCCCACATGGGTTTGTGAGATCCACCCTCGTCCGTGACATATTGCCAAAACTCCCATCACAGAACCTCCATCAACTGCGAACGGCATGACGTGAGCCACCCTCCTAAGGTGGAGATTCCGAGTTCGATCATCGGGTAGGGTAGATAAGTTTAGTAAGAATCATTAGAGGACGACTCGATTGAGCTGGCTGTAAACGACACAGTGAGGAGTGAAATTTTGAATGAAAATAGGTCAAATAGAGGACTAGTCAAATTGTGTGCATGGGTGTGTAGCTCAGTGATAGAGCGGCTGACTGCAGATCAGCAGGTCCTCGGTTCAAATCCGGGCGTGCCCTTTGAACCTTCGCAAAATTTCCATCAAGGAATTTTCGAGGGGTAGAGTAATCACTCATGTAATCGGCGAAACAGTCACAGACATCAACATGATCGGAAGTTGAATCATCGCCCTGCTGGCCCAATGGATAAGGCGCCACCCTCCTAAGGTGGAGATTCCGAGTTCGATCCTCGGGTAGGGTAGATAAGTTTAGTGAGAATCATTAGAGGACGACTCGATTGAGCTGGCTGTAAACGACACAGTGAAGAGCGAAATTTTGAATGAAAATAGGTCAAATAGAGGACTAGTCAAATTGTGTGCATGGGTGTGTAGCTCAGTGGTAGAGCGGCTGACTGCAGATCAGCAGGTCCTCGGTTCAAATCCGGGCGTGCCCTATGAACTTTCGCAAAATTTTCATCAAGGAATTTTTGAGAGGTAGAGTAATCACTCATGTAATCGGCGGAACAGTCACAGACATCAACATGATCGGAAGTTGAATCATCGCCCTGCTGGCCCAATGGATAAGGCGCCATCCTCCTAAGGTGGAGCTTCCGAGTTCGATCCTCGGGTAGGGTAGATAAGTTTAGTAAGAATCATTAGAGGACGACTCGATTGAGCTGGCTGTAAACGACACAGTGAGGAGTGAAATTTTGAATGAAAATAGGACAAATAGAGGACTAGTCAAATTGTGTGCATGGGTGTGTAGCTCAGTGGTAGAGCGGCTGACTGCAGATCAGTAGGTCCTCGGTTCAAATTCGGGTGTGCCCTTTGAACCTTCACAAAATTTCCATCAAGGAATTTTCTAGAGGTAGAGTAATCACTCATGTAATCGGCGGAACAGTCACAGACATCAACAT